ATTTTTACATCTGACCTCTAAAACACTATTAGAATGTGTTTTTAGAGTGCTTGGTGTGGTTACTTGAAGACACTATATTATATAACTTTCAAGTTTGCAAAGTGAAGATAAAGATTACGACACAATAAGTATAAATATTTATTAATTTGTAATCACTTAAAAATGGTTGCTTTTTTAAAATATATATTTTTTTCTTCTTTAAGGTAATTAGTCACTTTTTTTTATATTGAGATTGTGCTTAATTATTCGTAATTATTGCAATTACATATTGATTAATTAAATTATAAAACGATAAGATATTTTTTTCACTATATATACATTAGTGAATCATTTAACAGTTCTTAACCACTTATTATGAAATGAATGATATTTATTTATTTTTTATGTAAATTTTAATTTGCCCTAATATTTGATCAACTTCTCAATTTCTCTCATAAGTTTTCGTTTGTTTTAATTACCCTTTAAACTTTTTGTCAAAATTTAAAATTTTCCCTTTCATCCATCTCCATGTTTTATTTCTCAATTGACGTCGAGGCATGTTTTATTTCTCAATTGACCCCTGAAATTTTTTTAAAAAATCCTAATTAAGCACATAATATTCTTCAATTATATTAACTATGATGCTTTTTGCAATTAAGATTATATTATAATTTTTTGACTTTATATTTCTCAAATTTATAAACCATTAGCATATAAAAATACTTATATAAACTCAAACTATAAATCTTACATATTTTAGTGAAACCATGCATAACGAGCTAATAACAAATTAACATAGGATATTGATGAAAAGAAAAGGTTAACATCGATTTGTATCATATTTTTAATTCTCGTTCTTGAAAAAAAAAGAAAAAAACATAAGTTAATTGTAATGTTTGATATGAGAAAGTTAATAATAATGCTACACTATTTTTTTCTAAATCATAATTGAAATAATAATTAAAGTAATACAATGAAATAAGAATAGAAATTACTCTGTTCAGATTGCCTTACTTATCATAATATCTCAGAAGCTTCGAAACTGAAGTCTTAATTTTATAAAAACCAGGAAGGTAAAATAATTTTTTAAAAATCAGAACGTAAACTGATTTACCCTCTTGCAACAGCAACAATAACAAAAATAAATAAAGTAAAATAAAAGTCTTGTTTGGATTATCTCACTCTTGCAATTTCCAAATACCCAAATTCAATGGTTTGATAACGAGGTAGAGCGACATATTTTCCTACTTAGCATAGAACTACCGGTACAGCGTCCAGTGCCTACTGCCCATGAAGGACGTCGTGGGTAAGCAGGCAGACATTTCACTAATTTCAACTAATAACACAAAGAAAGTAGCCCAAAAAAGGAGTATCATACTCTGTCAAATCTCAAAATGGCTGCCCCAATATCTGTCTAGAGCCTAATCCATAAACACAACCAGCAAGGGAAAATTAAGAGAGACAGACTGATCTCCATAATTGCAAGTAATTTAGAAATTATTTTTTTAGTTTGACAAAACAAATTAAATAGTCAATCTAGTTTTAAAAACCAAATAATTAATCTCTTTCCTCTATTTTTTGTTTTTCTTTTCAATTTATTTTATTTAAAAAATAGCAAAGAAAAAATTATTAAAAAATTGATGAAAAAAATATTTTTTAAAATAAAATAATATTAAATTAGCATGACCAACACTATTTAAGATAGCAAAACGAATTAAATAATTCTTGTTGTTTTAAAAACTAATTAATTAGCCTCTTTTGTCCATTTCATGTTCTTTTTTAATTTAATTTATTTTTATTTTTTGGTTTTTTAATAAATAATATAAAAATATTTATGAGAAAAAAAAAGGCATTTTTGAAATAAAATAATATTTAATCAAATATGATGAACACCTGTCAAGAACTAATTAATTAGTTTTTAAAATTAAAAAAAAACTATTTAATTCATTTTGCATAACAGAGGAGCTAATTTATAATTTACTTCATAATTTGATTAAATCCTCTAAAAAACCCTGCATAAATCCATCAAATTAATTATAGTCAAATCTAAAGGCATTTAATCTAAGCTTATTTTCTTGTTAGAGTCCTAGGTATATATGCTCATAGGACGACAAAAATCCAGTTTGCAGCATATTAGCCTAAGCAGCTAGGTGGAATTGGGTGTCCTACAAATTATTAGATTAGGGACCTAGTATATAATATATATTATGTCCCTAATCTAATATTTTGTTGGACACTCAATTATATATATATATATATATATATATATATATATATATGGAATCTGAATGACTCGATCCAGAAAAAGATAAGGTCAATGGTGTCCTCAATGGAGCCCCATTGCAGGTCAAACCAACAAAAACGACTTGTTCTCAGAATGGCCAACATCCCATTTTCTAAAGCTATGGCCTCTGCCATGTTTAGAATTATGGACTCGTTGCTTCACCCTCCATCAATCCATCAATTGTTTGTTTGTTTCAATCACAACAAACGCAGTTATGAAGCTTGGTCCCTTGATGAGTTGACGTTCAAAAGATCTACAATAATGCATCGCATGTTAATTTCAGGCATGCTAATTAACTATATAAATCTATCCCCCCAATGCATGCTATAGCTACTTCTTCGTTATTTCAGCAATATTCTAAGTAAAGTGATGTTAAGCAACCTCATATAAATGAAATTTAATCTTTAGTTGTGTCAAGTTGCATGATTAAATATATTTAATTAAAAAGTTATTGTTCTAGTGATAAACGAATTGATATTAGACAAATTTTTCATCAATATACGATGTTCGAATTTTGAAATTATATTTTTTAGGAAGGTTAAATTTTATCATTTGTAATTTGAATATAATTAATTTTATCTTTAATATAAAACATGAATATTTGAAAAAAAAAAAAAAACCTTAAACCAATTAGAAGGCTAGCTTAGGGTAGTTGCCAATACGGAAATTGAACATTCATCCTTGACACATTAATTAATAAATTTCTGTTCTTTGATTTCTTTAGTCAAACAAATTAACAAAACCAACTGTTTTGCTAGATTGCCGTTTTCTTTTGATGTCAGGGAGTGAATTAATGCTGAGACATGTGCTCGTGGGACTGCTACATATTTCCATTTTCATTCCTTGTACATGCGCCATTGGACAAATTACAAGCATAGTTCATGCACCAATGCCAAAATTTGTGTGAACCTAGATGTTTGCAATCGAAAGTTACCATTCCTTGTTTAAACCAGTTAAGAGCCAATGAGAGTATATAAATGCTAAGTAAGACTGAACCTTAGACTATACTATAACTGTAAATATTAAAGTACAACAATAAGTGAGCAGCGGAAGAGCAGGGACAAAAGACAATCTCTGGGTCCTCTGAAAAAGAGCTGGCCTAGAAAGGACGAGAACATCCACACATGATCACATGGCTTTGCACATGACGACTTCTTCCTCTCAAGACTAACGACAAACTTCATGGGTTAACTTCGTTAGTTGGGGGCTTGGGGTTTAGAGTTTGCTAATACCACACTCTGACCTCTTTGTACTCAGTTACAAGCACTACATACACTTGCATTTTCGTGGGTATACATAATTTTATTAATGTTGTTTTCTTTTAGCATATAAATCCAATCCTAAAATCACTGTCTTTCTGTGATCTATGATTAGTTCGTTACTCAGATATGTCCTTTTTTTATATTTTTATTGCATGTTCTTAGAGCCAACTAATCTATGTACTAATTCTTTAATTAAACTCTAAACCAGCTAAGATAAATCATTGCCATACTAACCATATAGTAGATAGTGATAATTGGGCATTCAAAGAGAATCCAATTAATGCACCCAATTGCCAACACTTCCAGCTGGAATGATCATAATACGAGCTTGTTTTTTTGGAAAAGAATGCTAGACTAGTTAGTACTCTAATATTTTGGGAAATAATTGCTCTGAACATGTTAGTAGAGCTTGGAATTTTTAGACCTCTATCTTATTTTGCTCGATGCATATTTTGTAGGTTCATTTCTTCGATTGGATTTTAGTTTAAATTATAATTGTTTAACCTCAAAATATGTACATTCAAGTTCATTTTCATTTGATTCTGTTGATAAACCTCTTAATTAATTATTATATTTTAATTTGATTCCATGAATTTACAAACGAAATGTTATACATGTTAAAGTATAAATTCATTTTTGAAACCTCATATAATTAATAATTTAAGTTTTTGAATTGAAATAGTTCATCGACAATATAAATTTATTTTTTTAATCAAATATTTTTATTTAAATTACAAACTCAATATCCCACCAATTTTAGAGCATTTCGTTTCCTTCCGAGATGGCTTCACCTGAATAATCCAATTTTTATTAATTATATATCTTTATTTTTATTATTTTTGTCTCGTGTCAATTGCTTGTAGTTTTTCTTTTTTGGACTACGACCTTGACTGTTAAAAAAGAAAAAAGAAGGAAAAAATGACTTCAAAGCGAGACTTGATATATATATATATATACACTTTGTTTCTCAAGTAATTGATTATAGGACCAAAGGTAATGACTTAAATATGGTGGAAGATCATTTATTAGATGTTGATAGAGATTGGAGCCTCCTTGTCACATAGGAGATAGGTAAGTCGCATGCATGTATCATAGGCATTCTAGCTAGATAGCATTCGTAGCAAAAAAAAAACACACAAAATGGCCACAACCCCACCATGCAATTCATCTCTGCGCATATACAAAACACATGTTAAGTATAAATATTCTGTCTTTCCAAACATGTGCGGTGGGCGTGGGACATGGAGATCCCAACTCCCAAGGTCCACAAACGAGTCCTATAAGGTGATTATGGATAGAAATCAAGGGCATTTTGGTATAGCTATGAGCTATAAAACGAGAGCATGTATGCCTGTTCCCCATGCACAAACCTCTTTCTCTTACTCTCTTCTACAAGTTGTTAGTTATAGTGACCACTGAGTTTCCTCTATCAAGGTCAGAGGAGAAGAAGAAGAGCCTAAACAAGAAGTTAAGCCATGAAGAAGAGGCAGCAGCAACCACAGCAACAGCAGCAAAAGGGTGGGGAGAATTGCAACTATCAACAATACAGTCAGCACCAGCAGCATATGCAGAAGCAGATTCAATGTAACAAAGGAAAAACTTGCAAGTTCAAGAGAAGCAGTTCCAATCTTGAAGAAGATGGCGCTTCCTCAGCTATTCTCTTGCTTGCTTGCATTGCCTGCACTCCCTCGTATTGACTGTGAAAGACAACCAGTTAGATACATATATGTATACTAATAGATAGCTAGATTGATGATGTTCTCTCTATATTCATTCGCTAGTCTCAAATATCACCTTCTCTCCCTCACTCTTCTCGCTGCTTAATCTCCTTGGGATTTAAATTTAAATATTGGCTAGAACATGCATAATATTCTTTGTACTTTCCTGTTAGTTTATGAAGCTTTTTTCTATTAATTTCTGTCTTCCACACTGGACTTCATTGACATTAGCATCATAATTGGCTAGCTGCCTGCCTCTTTGGTACGAAGAACTACACTAGAAAAAGAAAAAATAAATAAAAGTTTGTTAAAAATCTCAAAATATCTGAAACATATAATAATTAAGGCAATGGTACAGTCGTATAGAGAAACGATATATAAGAGAAGTCTCAAAAGCCAACAACTAGAACAAAGGATAAAAAAGGACTTCTGCCATTTTCATTTCAACTACGGGTTTTAAAGATCTTCGGTTTCTAGAGTCAGTTGATATAAGCTTTAGTTTCAGAATTGGGACAAGAATCAAAGGCCATGAGAAAATTAGAAAATGAAGGCTAATGGAGAGCTTATTGATGTATGTTGTCACACCCAAATTAAATGGGAATTTAGCTGCAAGAGAATATTGTGTATCCTAATTCCACTTGTAAACCAAAAAAAAAAAAAAAAAAAGTACTATCTTCTAATGTCTATGTATATACCACAGTAAAATAATAAAATGGGCACATATATTTTGTTGAACCCTAAGTTGAATCATCCTATTCAACTTGCTTAGACAACCATATATATATATTAAACATTTGACTATGTGACTTACGTCGTATTTCATTGAACTGGATATTTGGAGCATCCAAAATCTTATGCTATAGATTTTTGTTTGCCATAGTACTCTAAATTTTAAAATGGTTTAAAATATTTTGTTATCTCGTGTTGGAAAAAGCATTTGGACATCAATAATTATATGACCCATTTCAGTGGTTCAACGGGGTACAAACCACAAAACCATGCTCCAATAGGCGGAGTGATACCGGTTTGGACTAGAGGATGGAGAAATAGGACTAGAGTTGAGTTTTTATGTGATGAATTTTATGGGGAAAAGAAAAAAGAAAAAGAAAAATTCTTTGATAAAACTTGGTATGGAATTATATTTCAAATTTTATTAAAAAAAATAATAATAAGTTTTCTAGCTTTTCAAGTTAGAAATAAAAATTTGTTTAGTTTATGAGCAAGTGGAGGAAATTCAATGACTCGTGGTTTTGCTTTTTTTTTTTTTTTCCCCTCTTACTTTCTTTTAATTTGAGTAAATTTATTATTTATTGTTTTAATCTTTTTTATTTTTTTTTATTCGGTCAAGTATGGCCTATATAAAAATGCAAAGTGGACGGTTAATGAAAACATTAGCAATTAACTGAAAACATTCGATTAATAATTTTTTTGAAAGTTAAAAAATTCAAAAGGAAAGAAAAACTACAAGTAAAAACACTCAATTAAAAATAAATTGAAAAATTCATGCATGCTAGGCTAACATATATATTAGCATGCCGTATGCATGTTGTTTATTTATTTATTGATAGAGGGTAAACTATGTTAATCTAACACTGAAGTGGTAACATCAACCTATGATAGGTAAAATCTTTTTTAAAAAAAAATTATTTCAAATTAAATTTTGAATTTAGTTTAAAAATTTAAATAGTAAATAAAAGTACAGGCATTCAAATAAAGGAAATTAAAAATTAAAACACTTAATATGTAATTATCTTAATTTGATGATTGTATATGCTTGGCTACAAATTAATCGTAATATCCTAAAATAGGTTTTTTTATTTTCTTATTTTTCTTTCATATATATTTCCATCAAACCTTGATCTTGCATCTCATTCTTTAAATGCTATTTGATTTAAAAGTAAGACTAAACAAAATGAATGCTTTATCGTAGAATATCAAATTCCATGTACAGACTTTGTATTGTCTTCTTATAAAAGCTTCAATAATTGAGATTTTAATACAGACACCAAGTTCACATTAAGCAGCTATTTTTCTCAGCAAAGATGTATAATAAATATCATTGAGATAAAAAAATAAATAAATAAAATAAAAACACCTGATAATGGATTATTAAATTAAAAAAAAATACATGAATTGACTTGAAAAATAATATTATATTAGTATGGTAAATATAAAAAACAAAAACAAAATGTAAATGGATATTATTTTATTTGAAAATTATCAAATTATTAGATTAATCCTTAGTTATTTTTTGTCATTGTCTTACATTATTGTTACTCTTCTGAACAAACACTCATAATATAAAAAAGACAAGTTTTATTTAAAAATATTTAGAATGAAGCATGATAAATCAGAATAAGAAAAACCTTCAGATTCATCCATAGAAGCCCCCGATAAAAAAGAAATGGACTGCAACAGTCGGAAAGCTTTTCAACCTAGGCAAAAACAAAAAGTTCATCCACACCATCACCCAGCATACACCCAACCTAGCTAGTATTTTAACTAATTTTTTTTCCAGCAATATATATAAGATTTATTATATCATAAAATCACGAATTTAACATATTTTTAATAATTTTGATAATTTTTAAAACATAAATAAATTATATATAGACTAAATTAACATGGAAGGATTTTTTGGTTCAAAATTTTATTTTCACCTTACGTGGTAGGATAGATAAGATGACACTATATATTATAATCTACCTAGAATTACAAGTGGCTTACTATCCCCTTTTGTCTTTACTGCAAAATTTTCTAACTAAACATCGATTTTCTGAAAAAAATCAACTGCAAAATTATAAGTTTTCCAAAGAAAATTCCAAGTGTTTTCAAGAAAATTCAACTACAATATATATATATAAGATTTATTGTATCATAAAATCATGAACTTAATATGTTTTAATAATTTTAATACATTTTTTAAAAAATAAATAAATAATATATAGACTAAATTAACACAAAATAATTTTTTGGTTCAAAATTTTATTTTCACCTTATGTGGTAGGATAGATAAGATGACACTATAAATTAAAATCTACCTAGAATTACAAATGGCTTACTATCCCCTTTCCTCTTTACTATAAAATTTTCTAACTAAAAACCAATTTTTTGAAAAAATTCAACCGCAAAATTACAATTTTTCCAAAGAAAATTCCAAGTTTTGTCAAGAAAATTCAATTGCAAAATTTTAAGTTCAAGCTCTCACTCTCTCCTTCTCTCTCCATCCTAGCGCCTTACCTATCTAGCTAGTGTCCATATAATTGCTCGGACCACACACCTTCCAAGTACTCCATCAATATTAAGAGCGAGCTTCAACTATGATCTCATCATGCCCTACTAGGACAATGGGGATGAAATTCAATTGCTCGAGCTTAACTTGGTAGATCTAACAATGATGTTTGCTAGTTCAATCCCAAAAGTATGTTCTATGGGAAAAACTCAATGCTTGTTCCCAATAAACTCATGTCTCTGTTGAAATTAAAGGGGTAGAGCAAGTTGTCCACAAAACCATGGACAACTTAGAATGAGTTGTCAACGGTTCCATGGACAACTTGAAAAAGTAAGCTAGGTCACAACTTGCATTTTCCTAGCTTCAACCAACATTACACTCGCCTCATTTAACGCAAGGTCAATGCAAGTGGAGGCCCCACCATATTTCAAACATCCTCCATCCATCCAAAAATATATATATTTGGAAGAGAGAGCCTCTATTTTAATTCTCAATTCCTCTATAAAAGAGAGATTAGTTCCTAGAAAATATAAAGAGTGTTTTTCCTATTTTAAGAGAGAAAGTTATTGTTTTCTCCTTATAGTATAGAGAGAGGTTGTAACCTCTATTATTTCTCACAATGAAGTCTTTCTATCTTGTCAATTGTTTTTTTTTCTTAATTTGTTTAAGGGTTTTTCACGTAAAATATGTTTGTTCAATATCGTTGTTTTGTCAAATTTATTAGCCGTGAATCCCGTTCTATTCATCGAGTAGCACAACAAGTGGTATCGCAGCATGGTTTTAGATCTTGTAGAGGTGTGTTACGGTAGTAGTAAAGAGTCCATGATAGAAGCAATGGCGACAAAGTTCAAAATTGAAAAATTCAATGGGAGCAATTTCTCATTGTGAAAGTTAAAGATAAAGGCTATCTTGAGAAAAGATAATTGCTTAGTGACCATCGGTGAAAGGCCGAGAGAATACATAGATGATAGTAAGTGGAATGAGATTAATGAAAATGCTATTGCAAATCTTCATTTGGCATTAGTAGATGGGGTGTTGTCAAGCATAGAGGAGAAGAAAACAATGAAGGAGACCATGGATCGTCTCGAGGCCAAATCACTCTACAATAAAAATTTTCTTAAGAGGAAACTCTATACTCTTCGTATGTCAAAATTTATTTCGGTGATGAGAACATGTTAATACTTTGAATAATTTATTTTCTCAACTCATATCGTTGGGTTATAAAATAGATCAAAGTGAGTGTGCTCGAACTTTTACTTCAAAGTCTACTAGATTCGTATGATCAACTCATCACATCAACTTAAAAAATAATATCCTTATGAATTATTTAGTCTTTAATGATGTTGCAGCTACTATTCCGGAAGGAGAAAATCGACACAAGAACAAGGAAGACGAGCATACAAGTTTGCAACAAGTGGAGGCCTTATTGGTGATAAGAGGAAGATCAACGGAACGTGGCCTAAGTGGAAGACATAACCATGGTAGGTCAAAATTAAAAGGTAAGAAGAATTTTAAATGCTACAACTATGGCAAGATAGGTCACTCAAAGAAGGATTGTTGGAGTTTGAAAAATTTCAATCCTCAAGGAAACATGGTGAGCAATTCGGATGATGGGAACACTCGTATTGTGAAGCAACAATAACACATGAAGACAAAAAAATATTTAGTGATGTGAGGTTTTTCTACTCAAAAGCTACATCTCACATGACCTTTAGAAGAGAATAGTTCCATCATTATGATCTTATGA